GAAGGCATCAAAAACACATTACAATTACAAATGATCAATATTCAGTTATTTACTAAAGAAAATCAAACTTTAGTTTTCCTCATTCTTTTGGGGGAGGGTCTGGGAATTGAACTCAGGACCTCATAATTGCTGACAAATGTAAAACTTTAGTTCTGAGGAAAGAAAAAAGTAGACAGCAACTCATGTTGATAATTTTTAAAACTTTTTAATGGAACTAGAAAATTCTATTAAAACAATTTCACCATCCTGGAATTACACAATATTGCATTGTTTCTTATTTCATGTGATTTATGATTCTGAGGTGCCCCAAATATTTATAATTCAAACCAGTGATTATTTTCCCAATAGATGCATGGTATAATATCACTTAAAGTAGCTTACAGAGTTCTATAAAACACTGTACTCAAAGTACAAAAAATAAGTGCTTTATGTGCACTATTTAATACTGTTTTTCTTTCTTTTGGTACCTTAGCTAACATCACATAAATAAAAATAACAAATGGAAAAAACAGCAAGAGGTTGTTTAACACTGGGAAGTTAGAAAAAAATTTCACTGGCAGTTTTCATTAAAAGATAAGGGATAACAATATCTGGCTATTTTGTAGTCAAAAAAATAGAAAATAAAAGAGAGTTCTATAAAGAAATAAGAATAAAAATACCAATAATTACATTAAATATTTAAACCAGCAAGAATTACAGTTGATTTAAATGATATATCTGCAGTTTGGGAGCCCAGAGATCTCTTAGGAATTATAATACAAGACAACAAATTTCAAAGTGAAGCCATACATTTGTAAAAAATATATATTTACTCTAAAGCAAACCAAAAAGTATAAGCATGGCTAAGGCTTGTTAGAGTCTTGAATTTTATAAACAAAAGCATATTACTTAACAGAAATAGCTAATGGCTAAGTTCTTTTCAAGTAAATAGGAAGCATGCTTCCAACTCATTAACATCATAAATCAGTATGTGCATTTGTCAGTTCCATGTTGTGAAACTTCTGACTCTTTTACTAAACCTTTGTCTTCTGCTTTATTTTTGCGTAGTTCTTTATATTTCTCTGGGGGAAAAGACTTGAAAATTTGATTCACTCAAATAGTAATAATAAGACAAGTGTTAAATTCATATGTAAAGAGGACTATACCAGCTGATTGTTTGGAAATAACAGTGGAAATTTAATTTATAATGGAGTTGATTTATTTTGGGGATTGTGACCAAGTGACAAAACTGCCAGCTGAAGCAAACGTGTTCAGCTTTGAAAAATTCAGAATGGACCGTTGGACTGTGCCCCTCGAAGACAGAAGAAATATATTTGTATTAACAGTTTCTAACATAAGAACAGTTACATAGTAAACTCAGACTGATCACACATTATACAAAGAATAGGTTGATGGGTTAATAACAATAAAGCTTTTAAAGTTTGTTTAATTTTCAAATTTAGTAAAGCAAAGAAAGGAAGAGTAAAAATTCCCCCCACAGGAAAAGAACCTCTCCATAATTTTCCATTAAAAATCATAAATGCTGTGTATAAGATGATGTGAAGAGTTTTTGTGAAGAGTAATTGATAGATAACATTAACAGTGAATTTAAAAGCAAGGAAATTAGTATTTGAGCATCATCGTGAAACAGAAGGGAAAAAGGAAATTTTTTTAAGGTAAAGATTAGCATAGGAAGCTTTTCCTGATTTGGGGTGTAAGTGACTTGGTTCAAGGAAAGGTGGAACCAGCTAATGCTAAAATCTACTAAGATCTCAGTCTTCATAGGTCAAGCAGATGTCCCCAGGAGCCATCTTTCTTTTTGTCCCATGCCTAATCTGGCACAATGACTACAAGCTTTGCCAAATGAAGGTGGAACTCGGGCCTTTCCGTTCAGAGGAAATGAGAGGAAAATTAGGACTGGAAACAGACTGGAGAAAGGTAAGGAATAGATTGAGGGTGAGTTTGTGGGGAAGGGGATGTATTCCTTTCCATTCATCATGAAACTTTAATTTCCATTCATCATGAACCTTTAATTCAATTGCAAGAAATTGCAATTGAATAACACTAAACAAAAGTAAACAAAAAACAAAAATGGGAGAGGTCATCGTAAAATATCTTGTCTAACCTCTGAGGCATTTGGGAGTGAAAGGGGCATTGTTAATATTTATAGTAGGAGGGGCTGGGGATTTAGTTCAGCGGCACAGCGCCTGCCTGGCAAGAACGAAGTCATGAGTTCGATTCCTGGTACCAGAAAAAAACCAAAAACCAAAAAAAAAAAAAAAAAATTTATAGTAGGACAACAGCCATAATCCAGGATTATGTTGGTAAAGCAGAATGTATGATCAACTCAAAAAGACGTTGCTAAACCCTGGGTGAGGTTGATATTTTTTAGTCAAGGACCAAAAACTTCTTGTGGACAGCTTACTTTTATTTCAGGTGCTATTTCTTGGTGTCTTCCCTGACACTTGAATCCAGTAGCATATGTAAAGAGAGGCCAAGGCATACTCTTTTTGGTTTTTCTTTTAAAATAGGAGGAAAGTGTGCAGAAGAGATAGTACAGAAATGTTCCATATTTTCTTCCAGGCCTATTTAAATAAATGGAGGCTTTTGATTTCCAATTTTTTTTTATAATATAGACTGGTTATTACTTTCTTTTCATTTTCAGGCAGAGTATAAGGTTTTTAAAACATCTTTCCTACAAAACTGAGAACTGCTTGCATAAAGCTTGCAATCTGCTCTATGTGAGTCTATGTTCAGAATGTAGATTGCTCTCTATTCTAAAACTATGCATTCTAATTTTGGTATAACATTGTAAGGAAAAAAAACCCTAGTTTTTAAGACATCGGTCATTTTAGGGTAATAGAATATTCTGTACTTATTTTTTATATAATACAAATTAAGAATTTACTCCATAAGTAAAGATATAGGACTGGGACTGAGAAAAGATTTTCATTTTTCTAGTTTTTCTCTCCTTAAGCATGCTTTGCTTTGTTTTGTTCTCGTGCTGTTCTCAGAATGGCAAATGCAAACACATATCCTGATGGATGCATTGTACTTGCTATGACTATGTACTAGTAAAATTCAGTTCATTTTCAAGATGGTACTAAAATGAAGTAAAATTTTGATATCTGATTTGAGAATTAGTTTAACATAACCCAGCTGATAATGGTTGTATGATAGGTAGGAATATTTGCTGCCTAGTTTCTGTCATCCAATAAGCATATAAAATTTGTTATAATATTAATATTTTTAAAGCATTTGTGACAAGGTTTTATACTATTATAATTGAAACTTCAGTTTATCTTTAACAGTTGTATTTACAATAAGTAAAAATATGTATTTATAAAATATAAAATTGCCAAGTCTCTCCGGTAAGTTTTAGATATGCTTTCGCCTACCCCAAGTACTTTCATATGAATTCTAGGAGAGGGTAAATGATCTGACCTTATGTGAATACTGACACATTATTCACTTTTTGTGAGTAAATTACCTTTAAGAAGTCTTCAACAGTGCTGTAGCAGCTCAATCACAATAAAGTCTATCAAATTTTGTAGCTTTAAATACAAAGAAATTTTGCCCCAGATATTAAATTTCTTTCTTGTCCTTTATTCTACAAATGATACCATGGAGAATCTTCCTGACTATGGATTGTTGTCATGACCCAGTGATCTAAGACATAACTATATAGTCATATAAAATATATTGAAGTTTAATATGTTCAAAATTATATTTATAGAGTATTTTACTACTCTGTGTGATTGGAATAATTCCTTTAAAAAATCTTTTAAGTGATACAAAACCTAATTTTCTACATAGCTATTATCAACACATAGCTACAGTTTGATTTTTATCCCACCTTTAAAAATTTAAGGACGTGATTTGGAAATATCTCTTCTTTTGTTAGGTTTTAAAAAAACTCAGTATTTTCTAAATATGAGGTAGTTTTCTAGTAGCATTTTGGGTGCTGTCACCCAAACATAATGTGGTTTAGTATCTAGGAGAATTTTATTTTGTTACAGTGGAGTTTTATTTTTGTTGATCTTCTTGATATATTAAGGAGGTGAGAGAGAAATACAGTGATTTGAAAAGAAGCAGTAACTTTTATAGGCAAGAAAGGGACACAAGATGTAACTGCTGTTACAGATCCCCCTGTTTAAGTAACATTGAGAGACTTTTAATCATTAAAAAACTGTTAAGAGCCAAAATTTAGTAATCTAATTCTGTTTTAATAACACTTTCTAAATTATTGGTTTGAGTATTTTGTTATTTTCATTTTGTTGCCTGACTAAGCTTTAAAATGAAGTAGGAAGTAGTCAAGTAAGAAAAGAAAAGTAAGAAGATGTTGAATAGGTACTAATTTCTTGGGTCTAAAAATATAAACATTGTGCAAAATTAACTTTTTAATTTCAAAAGCTTCATAATGTTAAACTTATCATAGCAAAAATTGGTCTATGTTTCTTTATTTAAGGAAAGTAAACAAACACACTGGCACAGTATAGTACACTCATTGGCACTTTCCATGAATCTACTCTAATAGAATCTAAAATCTTCTCTAGATATCACCAAAAATAAGTAAAATGTCAGCAAAAACAAAGCCACATCTACTCACTTGTATAAAAATCAGTCCTAAGGAGGTAAAAGTCATGAATTGTGTTTTCCCTAAAGTAATGATGTGGAATTCTAGGGGATGGTTTTCTTGACATTTTTAGTATTTTTTTATGTTTGGATCTCAGCTCTTAGTTTTTTAAAAAACATAATGATTTTATACAGAATAATACGTTTCCTCATGAGTTTTTTGGATTGACTAATATGTTTTCATTTCAAATAAATTTAAAACTCTGGATTCGTCCTTCTATTTCATACTGACTGAACGTGAATATTGCCCTTTGTTATTTGTTTTCAAAGACTCTAAGGGAAATCAAAACTTTTGCTCTTTTTGGGTGTCAGGGTGCACACCTATAATCCCAAAACTGGGGAGACTGAGGCAGGAAGAGCTCCACTGTAAAACCAGCCTGGGATACACAGTAAGTCTGAGCCCAGCCTGGGTGACATAATAAGACCCTGTCTCAGAAAACAAAAACAAAAAAGGGCCAAAAAAAACTTTCTTGGAATTTGGAATGCTCTTTAGACTATATACAACTTTGCCTTCCTCAAAGGACACTTGAAAATAAAACTAGGTCTGTGGGGAGCATAAATTTGGATATAAGAATTACTTTAGGAGAAATTTTTTTATTTTCTCATTTTTAAAGTTGGGCTTAAGAGTTTGAAACCAATATGAATTATGTTCACATTCATAATACTTATGATACACATTCACAATACTTATGATTGATCTGGATAGCAGTAGGCTTTGGTTTTAACTTATTTGTTTTAATTTAGATATTCTTTCCTTGCATTTTTCTATTTAATGAAAGTAAAATTAGAAGAAAATAGAAAGAGATAGAAAGGAAATTTAAAGACTACAGCAGCTCCCAAACATAGATGCACACTGAAATCACTGAGGAATTTTTTAAAAATACTGATAAACTCTCACTCTAAGACCTGATGTAACTGGTCCTAGGTGTAGTCTTGGTGTAAGTGTATTTATAAGCTGTCTAGGTGTTTCAAATGTGTAGCCAAGTTTGGGAACAATGGTCTTGAGAGGAGCTAAATGTGAACCAGAAAGCACAGAGCCTTTTCAAATTTCAGTTTTGAAGATGGTAGATCTGATTGGATTTAATAGAACTGAAGGATTACAAGGACTTATTGTGATTGAAGTTTACCTGACTGACTGAAATCTGGCTTGATTTTGGATCACAGAATTCTAGTAAGGAGTTGACAAAATTTTCTGCTCTTGTATGTTTACATTTTCCATTGAATTCTAAGAATTTCAAAAGGGCCAATGAATTTTTTAAAATGGAAATTCTGGTGCTGTATGTCTTAAGGCACTGGGTCTGGAATGGTAGCAATAGACTTTGGTTTTGGACTTTGGTTATTTTTGTCTTGAGTGAAGCAGTCACTTACAAGTATGGCAGGCAGATGGTCCCTCCTTTTAAACCCCATTCTTAAATTGTGGCATCCTTCTCTTCTACCACCATGAGATGTTCCCAAGGAAGAGTTCCTTGACTTTAGGGGACTTTGGCAAATAATACCCTTGCACAGAGGAATGGTTTCTAATCACCAGTGATGGATGTAAGAATTTCCTGTAATACTTTCCAGACAAATGGGTTAGGTATAATAAAACTGCCTGTACTTATTAAAAATTAAAGTAAGGGAAGGTAAAGGACTTCTCGGCAGATTTCATGTAAGTGGATGAGATAATTCAAGACTAACCTCAAATTAATATAACTGTCTTTGAATGCTAGATAGTAGTCTGGCTACTGCAAGAAGATCAAAGTAATGAATACAGGCCTGCAGATGTAACTCAGTGCTAGAGTAACCTTTCAGGCTGAAGTGATGCTGAATGCATTCAATCTTGGACAGATTTCATGAGTTCAGGCAGGAGCTAATGCCCCACACAGTGAAGGAATTTTGCAAAGTGTCTTCCCACCTTGCTTTTCCTCTTCTTGACTTTGTGTCCCTATGGCAGCTGTGAGCAAGAGTTGAGACTCGAGTTTAACTGCCTCTCTTGTAACTGCTGGTGCATGTTTTCTGAGCTCCAGTTCTTGTCTGCTGAGAGCTCTCTCCTTGCTTGTCAGGGACTGTAAACATACTCCCAGGACACTCAGGAACCTTGGAAGAACAACTTTTGGGGCCAATGGCTCTTCTGCTTTCTGTTAAATGAGACTCCTTAACATTTGATTTCATTGAGAAGTAAACTTCATATTTCATGACTCTACATGCTATTAGTTATACAGTCTCAGGAAAGGCACTGCTTTAGAGAAGGCATGGTTTATGTTATCAGGGGACTGAGCAGTTCATTTCTTCTGTAATAGAGTTTTGTGTATTTTATCTCTAAATTCAAACACAGGCATCTTCAGAAGGGTCCATATCCATCCCCTCGGGCAGTCACTGCAAAAGTGGGGTAGACCTCATAGGCTGCGTATGCTGCTAAGTCTTGTCCAAGGGTCACCGCTTGCTTGAGCTGAGCTGCAGAGACAGGTGCGGTTGCACTGGGGACAGCATATCCTGGAGGAGAAGGCAGAGAAAATTTCATGAAAGGAATGCACATTTGCTTCTTTTAGGAACATGGAAATTTCATATATTGCTCTAAGCTAATATATTAATTATTAATATTAATTATTACTATATATTGTCTTGGGGGACATAAGAAGTAGACTCAGTGGTTTTTAAATGGCACCTGGAAAGTCTTAGGACAGGGACCCGGAAAATGAAACACCTGTGTTACTCATGTGAGAATCCTGTCACACTTACATTACAGACAATGGGGACGAGGTCAAGCAACAGAAATGTAACTGGATGTTGAGTTGAAAAATACTTGCAATTTAGAATATTTCCAGAGAGTCTCAGAATTTATAAGGGAGGGGACGCCATTGAGGAGTTAGCAGGGCATGGTGATGGAGGGGCTGTGGGTCTGGTTCTGCTACAAACCTACACCTTCTTAGAACTCCTCCCCTGCCTAAATGGAACACTGCCTTCACCCAAGATGGATTTGTAGAGGCTGAATAGAACAGGAGGGGAACTACTGTGAAGTTTTAGAGTGTTTCTACATAATACCACAGAAGCAAATGTGTGCCCTGTTCAGTTTAGATTTACCACGACCAGCTAAGGCTCCTCTTCTCAGCCATCAAGCCTGCCTGTGATACACTTAGAAGTTCTGATGCTGGTCCTTGCAGTCAGAGAACTAGTGTTTTAACAGTAATGAAATCACCCATACGCTTTCATCTTAGTATTATGTCTAGCTGCTGGTCATTCACTTGTGAAGAAGAAACCATGCTCAGTTACTGTCAAAAGTGATATATCCTTGTTAATGTTGTAGACCAAAATTTGGCTATTTCTGAGATGATAAAAAGATTGCAAAAGATAATATGTGACAGGGAGAAATATTCTTAAGGAACAAGTGAGGATCTGATTTCTTAAACACACACACACACACACACACACACACACACACACACACACACAAAACCCCGTGGTCTGTTTGTGGTGGAAGTCTGTCCAACCTCAGAGCACTGATTTATGGCTTCTTAGGAAGTGGTAGCAGGAAGCGAGCTGTACAGTGTTTTAAAAAATTGAATCCACACCTTAGTTGTTCACTTTGGCCCGTAGTGCTGACTAACACACAAGTAAAGTTTGGCATATTTCCTAAGGATATGAGAAATGTATTAACAGTAGCGCAGATTTTATCTTTAGAGTTTTGGGGTTTTCTTTTTCAGTTTGGTTAATTTCTTAAGTGCAAGGGTATTTGTGTTTCATATTCATCCTCTGGTTTGTATTATTCTCTCTTTTTTTGCCTTTTTGAGACAGGGTTTTGTTTTGCAGTTCAGGCTGGCCTTGAACTCACTTTGAAGCCCAGGCTGGCCTTGAACTCACAGCAATCTTCCTGCCTCAGCCTCATCAGTGCTGAGATTACAGGCACATGCCACCATGTGTGGCTGGTTTATACTGTTCTTTGCTTGAGTCTACAGAAAGTTATGAGAGGCTCTCACATTTTTAGGCTTTTATTCCCAAGATAACTCTTATGCCCCAAATATTTTAACTTCTTGTAGGAGCAAATAGAAAGGAAGATAAAGATTAAAAACATCTTGGGTAAAAGCATATCTTTTTGAATATTAAAACAAAGCTTAAAATTTTCCTGACAGAAGCTCATTTATTTGTACAGTATATTTGATGTGTTTGGAATGCAGCTTTCTGCAAGGCAGGGGCTCACCTTTCTCCAGGACCTGAGTAGCTCTGGAGTAAGTCTGAAGTAGAGGGACATAGAAACACCTTGTATGTGTGGAGGCTAATGGCTCACAGCACCCAGCAAGGGCCTTGTTCTCTGTAGGGTTCATGGTTTCCTTGGTAACAACACAAGGACTCACCACAGAGCATCTCCATATTCTTACAGAGAAGCGAAACTAGAATTGAGGTCACATTTGTGCATGAAGCATGATTGGTTTTAGCCTTATTTACCAGAAGGGAAGGCATATTCACAATTTTGGAGAGATAAAAGAAATGAGAATGAGCCCTAGGTGTTCTGGATGTGGGGATTATGGAATTCTCACACCTACATGTGGCATGATATATAAATGAATAGGAATGCCATAATTCTAGGGCTAGTGAATACTCTAATTTAGGCATATAGGGGCATACTGACACAGTGACAAACCAGAATGACAAATTTCTTTAAAAGAAATAAAATTTTATTACCTAAAGGAATAGAAAAACTCTACCTTAATCTCTAGAGGATTGTTTGAATGATTAGCATTTGTGGTGGGTACAAAATAAATGAGAAAGTCTTTTAGATAGGCTTGACATTAAGCAAACAGCATATGCCCAGGCCAAAATGAGAGAACAGATAAATTGAGGCCTGACTACTCACATATGGAAAAAAATCTATCTGTCACTTGCACAATGCAAGTTTTCACTTATTGTAATTTTCAAATGTTCATCACATCTGTATCAGAAAGCAAACTAATAGACATAGATTGAGGATTAGAAATAAGGAGGGAACTCAAGGGTTACATAAAAGCTGATGACGTTAGTAAAGTCACTTAATCTTTTTTTAAAAAACTTTTTTTTATTTTAAAAATAAAAGGAGGAAAACATTAACAGACAGACAACCTTTTACAAAATAGCAAAAGAACAGTACAGACAATACAGAGTTACAAATAAAGTGGTAGGAAATTAACAATGCTTATTGTATTGCATATTAATATCTTCAAAGTGTTTTCTCATGAAAACACAGAGACATACAATATTGATCAATCAAGGACTCATTAACAATTTCTTTCAGCAGAGAAATAGAAGACAGTAGATCAACTATGTTAACTATCCTGTATATACATAAATACAAAATTTCTCCTTCTTTCCCTTCTCTTTTCCCACATCCCAGTTGCCCCTTACCCTTGAACATTTTCCTATCATTTCACAATGTCTATCATACCTCCAATTTTATATTAACTCTTTCAGGTTTTACACTAGTGAGACAATGACGTGTTTGCACATGCAGGTCTGATTTATTTCACTTATGAATATGGTCTCTAGTTGTGACCATTTACCTCTAAAAGCCTCAATTTTGTCTTTCTTCATAGCTGAGTAATATTCCATTCTATAAAAGTACCACAATTTTCTTATCCAATCCTTGGAGGATGGACATTTGGGTTGCTTCCACAATTTAGCAATTACAAATTGTGCCGCTATGAGCATAGGTGCACATATATAGCTGTGATATGATGTTTTCAGATCTTCTGGGAAAATACCTGGAAGGGGAATAGCTGTGTTGAATGGGACCTTTAGTCTTCGATTGCTGAGGAATCTCCAAACTGATTTCCATAGTGGTTTCACTAGTCTGCATTCCCACCAGCAGTGGAGAAGAGTTCCTATTTCTCCACAGCCTCACCAGCATTTGTTATTTTTTTTTTTTTTTTTTTTTTGCTTTTTCTCTGGTACCAGGAACCGAACTCACGACCTTGCGCTTGCCAGGCAGGC